CGCGTGTTTCGTCGACCTTTCCAAGGCATACGATTCGGTGGACCCAGGCCTACTGTGGGACGTGCTCCGACGCTTCGGCGTGCCCCCGAAGATGCTGGCGGTCATTCGCCACTTCCACGAGGGCATGAGGGCGCGCGTCCGAACGGACGACGGGCAGTACTCGGAATGGTTCGACGTGGGCCAAGGCCTCCGACAGGGATGCAACCTGGCCCCGCTGCTGTTCAACTTGTTCTTTGCCGCGATGCTCATGGTCGCCGTGGCCGAGTTCGACAAGGACCCCAAGGTGACGGCGGACATGGTCAAGATCGGGACACAAGTGGAGTACACGGGCAAGAAGGGCAGGTCGGCGGGGAGGAAGACGACGGTGGTGACGGACGCGGAGGCCTTGTGGGCCATGCTCTACGCTGACGACGCGGCCATCGTCTCGCGCTCGTCGGAGAGCCCCGAGAAGATGATGTAGGTCATCGTGCGCGTGGCCGGCCTTTTCGGACTGATGGTATCGGAGCCAAAGACGGAGATCATGTGCATGCTGCCNCGGGCAGGAGAGCGACTGGGTGTCTCGTCTAGGAGAGGACCTCGTGGCCTTCAACATGGGAGACGAAAAGGAAGGGGGGAAATGGAAAGAGAGCGCCAAGGACCCGGAGGTGTGGCACAACAAGGTCGAGGACGGGGCGGCATGGTTCATGATGAAATGGCACAGGCAGGAGGCGGAAGCGTCCGCGAAGCGCCAGCGCGCGAGGGAAGCAGAAGCAGAGAGTACGGCCATCTCAGGACCTAAGAGAACGAGAGTCGGGGAAGCGGCGGTGGGGGGAAAGAAACGGCGACCGGGCACTGCTGTAGAAGCGAGTAGGGCGGCCGAGGCAGCACTTGTGGTGAACGATGTACCCGGCTGATGTTGTTGCGCCTTGTTTCCCTCCCTGCTGTATGCTTTGCTCCTTTGTGTGTGTCCTTTGTAGTGCCTTCGGCCTCTGTGCTGTGTTTCTTTTTTTTCATGTCTTCCCTGCCTACTCTGCTACGGTGGGGACCTTGATCTCGCTTTTGCTGTTGCTGTTGTTTTTTGTACATCTGGCTGTCTGCCCATCTGCCGCCACTTGTCCTGTGTGCTCTGTTACTCCCATGCCCTGGCGCGTAGTGCCTGGTGCGGGTACGTTGCCCTTTGATTTTTTCTCTAGGCGGGTGTGGGAAGCGTCCTACTTTATTTTTGTTTTTGTTTCATTTTGATCGGTTTCCGAGGGCTCTTTTCTCGAACGGTCGGTGCGGTAGCTGTTCTTTTCTTTTTTATCATTTTGTTTTTTTTTTCCGAGTGGTTTGTATCCTATTTTTGTTTTGTTTCCCCGCGGCGTCGTATGTGCCGGGTTTTGAGACCACGGGCTCCCCATTTTTTTGTGGACTATAGAGCTAATGTGAGAAACAACAACAACAACAACAAACAAAAACACACGCGGCCTCGTCACGACCCTCACGGGCGGGCAGGCTAAGAACACATAGGTAGCACCATCGATCACACAGCGCACATCTGACAGACAGTGCCTTCGGCCATCCGACGGTGATGGTATCTCCTGCTCTCACGGAATCACAAATCTTTGTTTGGACAACGGG